ATTTGTCACATATTGATAGGTTGATTATTTTTAGTTATCATACATTCGCTTATTATTAATGTTATTATTGTTATTTTGATATTGATTGATTGATTGATTGATTGATTGATTGATTGATTATGTTCACAAAGAAGAAAGCTTATGCCTGCAATGATAAATTGATTATGCTTGCAAAGAACGCTTTTGCCTGCAATCATTAATTGACTATGCCTGCAATGAAGAACGCTTAGTCTTCGAATAAAGATATAATGCTTCTTAATCATTATATATTAATCATTATGTACTCACATTTATAATCCTTTTTATTATATTTATATACTCACAATTATAATCAAGAATGCTTAGTGCACTGTGTGGAAGTTTAGGGACGTAACCACCTTTCCGAGGACGTGGTTGGGAAGAGAAGTGTTAAGACAAACAGGAGCAAGGTTGGACAGTGAATGGAGCCATCAACACCAGCTGCAACGTGATGTTTTGTAACAATTGCACACATGTACGTAATTTACACGCACATACACACACATAGTCAAACAAGTTCAGTGTGTCTTCAACAGCCCCCACCCTTCAGGTTGGACACACCTATGTAGGAGATTTCCCAATAAATGAGGGGGTGAAGGGGGAGATCGTTAGGGTGACGTGCCGAGAACTGAAACCTAACGCTTCTCCTCGTTCCCTCCTGGTACCAGAATTGAGTCTCCTGTCTCCTCCTTGTGTTTTATTCCTAAGTGTCATATTGGATAAACCTGACACATATCCTGGTTAAAGCCCGCTACAGTACACTTCTACGTTCGCTCTACAAGACCAGACAGCAATCAGGCACCACTGGTGCTCGCTGCTTGGAGTTCCAAAGCAGGGGTGGGAGGGGCGAGCTGAATCAAACCATTGTTTTAAAGCAAAAAGGGAAAAAAAAATCTATTTTTCTCATTAAAATATTTCAATTTTTTACTGTATTTTTTCCCCAATTGTCTCGCTTGTTAAAAACAATGCACAGTTGAAAAGTATAGTATATCTCTGAAAATTTGGGAGCGTTTTTTTTTTTTTTTTTTTAAGAGCTGTTTCAAATATTCGGTGCTTGAAGCAGCTTTAAGAAACACTGTAGTTTCAATATGAACCAAGTGCCCATTGTTTGCAGGCATTTGCTCTTTGCAGCTCTCTAAAGGGTCTGACACAGCATTTCAGGCAAATTGAAGTCTGCACTGGCCAACATTTTGGAAAACCTTCAAACATTCTGGAGTTGATCACCTACCCACTCTCGAGGACTTGCATACAACAAGAACCAAGACAAGGGCATGGAAAATCCTACTGGACCCCCCACACCCTGCCCACCACCTCTTCCAGCTGCTCCCTTCGGGTAAGTACTATCGAACCATGCGCACCAAAACCAGGAGACATTCAACTAGCTTCTTCCCTCTCGCCATTGACACCCTAAACAGTATGCTTGTGGAGGCTCTCAGTCGTACAGGAAAGTTCCATCGTAGAAAGGGTTCCGTCAGTCGTCATCTGTACCTGTGGGTGTGGTATCTGTTTTTTATTAGTATTGTATTAACTTCATGGAATTACGTCAGCTAACTGTAGTCAAGGGAGAAAAGAGAGAATAGCTGTCAATTAGTATTAATATGTAGTGTCTACTTCTTATTAGCATTATAATGAGTATTAATATGTAGTGTCTACTTCTTACTAGCATTATATGATTTCGGATGTAGCTTATCATAGACAGAAGGAATAAAGAGTATGGCCGTCACTCGGAAAAAGCAGGAAAAAGGATGTATGGTTGTCTAACACTCGTAAGAAGCAAGAAATACAGCTGCTGACCAACGAAATAAAAATGCTGACCAACAACACTAGTTAACCGACTGCATGCCAAAGAATAGGTATAGCAGGAAAAGGGCTATGGCTGCCTCGCGTAGATAGCAGAAAAACAAGTATACAGTTGTCAAACAGAGAAATATATGGACCAGAAAACAGGAAGTAAAACGCAGAATCAGCAAAACCTGCTAGCCAACTACATGCCAAAGAATGTAAAGGGAAAAGAAACAGGAAGCAAAAAACAGAATCAGCAACACTTGACAGCCACCTACAGGTCAAAGAATGTGTTGAGAAAGAACTGAATGTATGACGATACTTGCTAAATCCATTTGCTATGGTCTCCATCAGATCGATAAATGCATGCCCCATTGTGATAACAATGACATGCCCCTTTATGTTTTAAAAGGACACGTGGTAATACTTGAAACCCACATGCATTCACACAAGGGCCCAGCAGGGGCCCCCATTATATTTTAAAAAATAGAAGCTATTGTGACACCATTATAATTCAAAACCAAGATATGAAGTAATTTATAGATACCATTAAAAACTAGCCAACGAAGAAAGCCACAGCCAATCAGAATCACACAACGCATTATGACACTGTTAGAGTTGATTACGATCAAGAGACGGCCCAATGAAATTGGAGGGGTGGGCCCCTCATACCGTTATAAAAACTGTGTTTAACCTCGAAAGAATTCAGAGTTTTCCGATGTGCATATCTGTACCTCTCCGAGTTTTTGATTGAATAAAGCTCGTTTGTGACCAGCCTGCACCTCGGCCTCCGGACTAAGTTTGTACTTGGTTTTTGAACGGTCTCGGCATCAAGCTCAAAGAAACTTCTGGTGTGTCCCCCGGTCTGCGGTTCAACAAAGGAAAGTCAGTTTTTTTCCTCCTTTTTGTGTCGGCCCCCCCTGCTCCCTCGGCCGTCCGCCCGGGACGCCTCGGCGCGCCCCTGGTCTCCGGGAAGGAGGCGTGGGTCCGGGTTCCGGGCCGACACATCAATGACGCCTGGGATATAAACCCTGGAGGAAGGAAAGTGGTCCCAGATGAGCTTGTGAACAAAGTGACCACGGCCGTACATGAAGCGCTAGGCCACGGAGGTACTTTGCCCACAAAGAGAGAGTTGGAGAAACTGGAGCTTTGGATCCCTGATAGGAAAATTCGGGCTGTGCTGCGGGACTGTGAATTGTGCAACAAATACAATGCAGGACGCCGTGGACAGCGAGCAGAAGGATTAACTATCAAAAGCACTGTGCCATGGGCATCAGTCTGCATGGACGTAGCAGGCCCCATGGGAGTGAGCGGCGCAAAAGGTGAGAAATACCTTATTGTGCTTGTGGACTCGATGTCAGGACATTTTGGACTAAGAGCAGTGAGAAAAGCAAATGCTAACAGTGTGATAAAAACACTGGAAGATGGATGTATGTGGCTAGGAATACCCAAAGAGCTACGTACTGATAATGGAACTCATTTCAAAAACGCCGCTGTGGATGCATGGTGTCGAAAGTGGGGAATAACAAGAATTTATTCGCCGCCTTACACCCCACAAGCCAACGGCGTGGCTGAAAGAACCATCGGCCTGGCTAAGAATTGGCTGGGGAAAAATGCAAATGGAAAAGAATGGAGCACAAAGCTGGTGGAGTTGGTCAGAGACTTGAATGGGAGGAGCAGAGCAGATAGGCCATCCCCCTCAGAGGAGCTGAATCAACGCCCCTTTGTAGCTTCCGCAATAGGCAGAGTACAAGAAAAGACCAGCCCTCAGAAGGAGAAGTGCCCGCTTGAAAAAGGACAGACAGTGTGGGTCAAATCACATGACTCCGCTGGCTCTCAAGCGGTTAAGTCCAAGTATGACCAGTCCGACATAGTCGAAGAAGTTTTAGACAGAAACACAGTGCGCCTCAGAACGAGAGGTGTCCAAGGGGTAGAGCAGCTAAAACCTATCCAGTCGACTCAACCTAGCCAGGGAGTAAAAACAAAAAACAAGAATCTTTAAAATGGAACATGCCGTACCCCCATTTATTAAGTTGGCCATGGTAAAGGGGGCTATCATCACACGGAGAACGTGGAATGGAATCAAGGCCGGAAGAGCTTTTAAGCTCTTGGAAAATGCAAGACGGGGATTTTTATCAGACGCTGTGGAAGACTTTTCGTGGAGACAAGCTAATGTCGGCTGCGTTGTCTGCGGGAGTGTGAACACAGCTACTGCGAGATGGAGTGAACACAGCCCTACTGAGTCGTTCGACCTCCATGCCGGAGGGGAAACAGGCCCAGCGAAGGTACTGGACGCTTTCATTTGCTACACCTGCAGGATAAAATATTTACCGAGGATTAAGATATATGCCCAGTGGGACGTTTCGTCCCTGGGGCGCGACGAACAAGTCAATTGTACCTGCCAGTGGGATGGATCGGTGCTGCTACACTGTGAATTCTGCTGGGCAAGAATTGCGAGCGGGATGCTGGTGAGGGTCGAAGAGGCCGAAGGATGGCAGGTTACAGTAGCTGCCGCACCAGTGATCCCCCTAAGACCCATTTTAACTTACCCGATGGGCACTTGCTATAATGTAATCTGATTTATTCCATCCGTTGCCAAGAAAGTGAGTGCAAGGAACATTACATCGGAGAAACCAAACAAACACTCAAGAAAAGACTTTATCAACACAAATGGAAAAACAATGACAACAAAAGTGCAGTATACGCACACTTAAAAGAAACAAACCACACAATTGAAGATGAACAAGTAAAAATCCTAGGAACAGAAAAGAGATGGTTTGAAAGGGGAGTAAAGGAAGCGATTTTTGTTAAAAAATGTTCACATTTTCACCCTCTCTGAACCGTGAAGGAGGTATCAGATTTAACCTGTCTCCTATTTACAATAACTTGTTGACCACCAAGGGACATAGACATGCTGATCAGGCTAACTGAAAGTAGCTATTCAGCCCTAGCCCAAACAATAGGCCTAATCAAGACCCAACGATAGGGAATTTAGAAATCAATGGGCCTCTTCACGCATAAGTCCTTTTGTTTAGGTGTGACACTCATTTGAGTTTTTATTGCTTTAAACGCATCGGAGTCTTCACTGAGACTTTAGAGTTGTCTAACGCTGACGAAGCTTCTGTGAGAGAAGCGAAACGTCCTTTTTTGTTTTTTACCCACAGGTACAGATGACGACTGACGGAACCCTTTCTACCCTCAACAGTAATTCAAATCTGTAATGCCTCTTTGCATTTTTGCACACCCCTCTGCAACAGTATTACCGCACTGATCATTGTACATCCAGTTCTCTACATACTTGAACAATTGTCGTTGATCAATATTCCACAGCACCAGACACTCTAAAGCGCTCAAGGAATTTCTGTATAATTGCACACCTAAAGTGGTCCGACAATTAGTGGTACTGGTCACTTCAAAATGCACAACTATCAGAGTATTGTATTTTTCCACTGATCACTTTATCTCTGCTCGATGACTATGCACATTGTCGCACAGCTGTCATTGGGTGGTACTACTGCACAATGGTACCCTTACCTGACGGAAAGTCTTTCTTATGTTATGTCCTTGTTTTTGGTAGTTGCTTGTTTTTGCAATACTAGTGCTGCAACCTAAACTACCGGAGACAAATTCCTTGTGTGTTCTACATATTTGGCCAATAGAGATGATTCTGATCAACCCTTAGCTGTTTGAAAGATGATCTCACATTTGAATCTACAGTACCAGACTACTGTATGCCCAGAGAAGAAGAAGAATAACCGTTGTTGATTTTCTATAAATACTAGATGTGTGCTGCATGTAGAAATGTCAATAAAACAATCCACCAACGAGAGGGGTTTCACCCCCCGTATATCACTGTGCTGACTGCTCCTCTGTGGCCTCAGGTGGTGCATTGGGGTCCAGGAAATCTGGGTGCTGCAGTTCTTTCAGGTATTTGGGAGGCGTCAGGATGTGGGTGGCACCTGCAGGAGACCAACACCTTTGCTCAAAATCAATGCTGAGTGTCGACTGCAAAACTGTGATGAAAGTGAACAATGTACAGTAAAAAAATGCATGACTGGCTCATTGTTCCTTGTAAATGAGTATACAACATACTGCAGCTCTTTAGAAGCACAGTCAAGTCTGTCAAGATGGAAAAGAATTTTATGATCTTTGTTTAATCTGTTGCTTTGAAATGGACAACTTCAGAAGAGACAAACACTGGGGGGAATTTGTCTTACTTTTCTTCTCTTCCATAAACTGAGAAATTAGGTTTATTTATCGGTTCCTTTATTTTATTTGTAGATTTAATGAAATATGCTTGTCATACTTACACAATGTTTTAGTACAATTCAAAGCATAAGGTTTAGGGAAAAAAATCTCACTGTTTTCGAAATTATTCGGTGTAAAGTTGTCCTTGTTTGAGGACTCTGAGGAATTTTGACATCTAAGAACACCATAACCAAAAGTAACGAACATGGATGAAAATGAGAACATACCAATGAGTGCCTCCCATTTGCCATTGGCTTGGGTGACCTCATACACACAGCGCATCTCACTGTAGGTCATGCCTCCAATAATGAAGACAATGACCCTCGGACCTGTCTTCACCTCTGTGGGGCCCCTGTTTTTGTGCCAGTTACCATAGCGGGCACTGCTAAATGGGAAGAGAAACAAGAAACACGGCACACATTTTTTGTATTTATATTGATACTGCATCAATGACATCATACAAAGAATCACAGCACACATACACAGGAGAGTTGAACCTAGTCGGTATTCAAACCTTCACCAATACGAAGTGCCTCCAGATTGAACTGTGTATTCAAGCCAAAATATAGTATTTCCTCTTGAAGGCTCTTTGCAGCCATCAGCGTAAATTAGCAGTCTGTCACAGTTTTACAGTTACTTGCAGAAACAAAGTTTTGTATGATGCAATTCCGCTCATCATTTGCATTCATGACCTGCTACCCGACAAAATGCACACTACACCCAAATGTAACTCAAAATAAACAGTCTTTTATTCCATGACATGAAATACTAAGCTGCATAAAATGAGTTCTTTTTTTTCTTAGCGAATAAAAGCATGAACTTTAATTTGACAAAATCCAGACATTGAGGAAATACGATTATGACTCAATGACATTTTCGTGTTGTCTGACTTGTCTAAGTCAATTTCTAGGGATCAATCAAAGCAGTTATGGGGAAACAGAAAATAATAATAATTCATGACACATATCAGATATTTGTTCAAATGGACTACAATCACCTATTACGAAATATGGATTACTGTGAACTACTAACCTTGACGGAGCGCTGGCTTTGGCTGATGCTTGTCTCTGGGAAATGTATGGGTATTGCTTCACGTCAAGTTTATCCTCAATGGCATCCTGCAGGAAGACAACTTCTTCAAGGTAAGCATTTTGACTTTGCCCCCCAGAAGCGAGGGGTGGCCCCACCCAAAGCAGCTGTTGGACCTGTTCCTGTACCAACAGGTCAAATTATGCCTGTGTGGCCTTTATCATGAAATGGATGACTAGCCTGTATAGTAACATCATCTGGAGAAATGTTCGTTTTTTTTCATTTTCAGCGTGTTTCCATTAAATTACACATCATGTCATCATTTCAAGCACTTTGATTCATGTTTAACGATAGTTCTGTTTCATTTGTCTGAATAGAAATGCCAACAGGCTATTATGACAGCTCAACTTGATAATTACTATGGAGAGCGGCTAAATATTATTGTTATGACTCCCACTATTAGTATTTTCATTTTGATGACAGAGTAACTGATTTTGCCTGTGGTTTATTATTGATATGCCCTAGTCAAGAGCAGAGCAGCCCAGGCAGCCAGAACTAAAACTCTTTCCTCGAACCCATGAAGGGATTTTCCCCAATAGTGGCTTTGTTTGCAATAAATGGCACACCTCATGCCTTAAATATATATTGACACAATAAAACATAATTGTTGTGAAATTGAAAATGTAAACTAAACTGCTATTAGCAGAGGGGGGCATCGTCAGTCCGATGAAAAAAATTCTGAGGGCCCACTGCTTCCTTACAATAAATAGTCAATGGAAACGAAGTGCATTGTCATTTGCATTTGAATTAGATCTAGGACTCAATATCTCAATGGAGGCACCCATTGTAATTTTCATAAAGGAAAACGTGTTAATGTACAAATCCAGCATTAGGTAGAATATCAAACTAGGTTCAGATATCCTCATGGATAATGTGTCTCTTTTTGTTTCGGACAGAATCATATTGCACTAAATAGCGCACCTCGATGAGATCCTTGACGAGAGGAGTCCATCTTGAGAGTTGGTAGGTATGCTCACTAATTCGCTCCTTCCGGTCAGGCTTTTTGGTTTTCTTGGCAGTGGCCTGCAATGGAAACATTTTATTTTATTGGGATGATCGTTAATAGCACCCGCAAATCCAATGGGGTTGGGACGTTTTGTCAAACGTAAATAAAAACAGAAGACGATGATTTGCAAATCTTTTTCAACCTATATTCAATTGAATACAATATATTTCATGTTCAAACTGATTTACTTGTTCTTTTCGGATTCTGCACTTTATAATGTGCCACACATTTTGGATGGGAGACAGCTCTGGATTTCTGATAGGCCATTCTATAGTCTCACCCAATTCTAGAAGAATGTGGCTTGGCATTGTCTTGCTGAAAAAATGCAGGCAGGGATGTACCTTAAAAAGAAAATCTGCATCTGCTGTACCTTTCAGCATTATTGGTGCCCAAACAGATGTGCGAGTTACCCATGCCATGGGCGCTAACAATAAACACCCATACGATCACATATGCTGGCTTTTGAACTTGCGCCAATAAAAATCCCTATAGTCCTTTTTTTTTTGGAGACAAAGTCAACCATTTACCAAAACTGTTTGAAATGTGGTCTCATCAAACCATAGCACACTTTTCCACTTTGAATCAGCCCATTTCATGAGCTTTGACCCAGAGAAGCCCGTGTCATTTCTGGCCTTTGTTTTGCATGCTAGACTTTAACTTGCATTTGTTGATGTGGCAATGAACTGTCCTAACCTCTAATGATTTTTTGAAGTGGTTATGAGGGATCAAAGGCCCCACGCATTCAACGTTGGTTTTCGGCCTTGCTGCTTACATGCAGATATTTCTCCAGTTTCTCTGAATCTTTTCATGATAGTATGGACAGTAGATGATGAAATCCCTGAATTTCTTGCAATTGCACATGGAGGAACATCATCCTTAAACAGTTTTGACTATATTCTCATGCAGTTGTTCCCAAAGTGGTGAATTTCACCCCATTTTGGTTTGTGAATGATTCAGCAATTCAGGGAAGCGATTTTTATACCCAATCATAGCAGCCACCTGTTCCCACTTATCCTGTTCACCTGTGGGATGTTCCAAACAGGTGTTTGATGAGCATTCCTCAACCTTACTCTTCTGCTGTTGGCCCTATCCTAGTTTTATTTGGATCATGTTGCAGCCATAACATTCAAAATGTGATCATATCCATCCATCCATCCATATTCTGATCCGCTTATCCTCACAAGGATCGCGGGGCGTGCTGGAGCCTATCCCAGCTGTCTTCAGGAAGCATGTACGGGACACCCTGAACTGGTTGCCAGCCAATCGCAGGGCACACATAGACATACAACCATCCGCGCTCACACTCACACCAAGGGACAATTTAGAGCAATGGTGTCAAACTCATTTCATATTGTGGGGCACATATGGCCTCGGTAGATGTCAAGTGGGCCGGACCATTAAAATTATACTATACTCTGCTATAAATAACCCAAATAATATGTCTTTCCTTTGTTTTGGTTTAAAGAAGCACATGAACATTAGGAAAATGTTGAAATGTCATGAACATATCTTTTACAAAACATTTCATGAAGCACCTTAGACTTCCTTAGACAAATGTGCAATTTACTTTTATCATTCACCGTTATGCATTGCAACTGATTCCACTGATTGTACAAAGGCACAAAACTTTAAAACAAGTAATTGGTGTTGAAAAATATAGTAATGCCCTTTAAGATTAAACGAGATTTATAAAGAAAGGAATTTTTAAACCATTTACACAAGTGCATATAAAATCTAAATTTAATCCCTGCCTACACCTTACAAACCAAGGAGAGTGCTATTAAATGTGTAAAGAATAAAGTCTTCACATATCCTTGATAGCGTCTGCTGTGTTGGGTCTGTCTCAGTGACAGGCTGAGGCTGCTGTTTTCTACTCTGATCAAAACAGTGTGTCCCCTAGCGGATACTCCATGAATTGCACCTTATTAACAATAATTCATTCCGTTTCTTTTATGCATTTTTTCACTTTTAAATTATCCTGCGGGCCTGATCGAATCTCCTTGGGGGCCGTATGTTTGACACCCCTGATTTAGAGTGTTCCATCAACCAGCCACGCATGTCTTTTTTTGGAATGTGGGAGGAAACTGGAGTACCTGGACAAAACCCAAACAGGCACGGAGAGAACATGCAAACTCCACACAGGAAGGCCGGAGGCGGGATCCAAAAAACCCGATAAAGTGTATTCAACTGAATATAGGTGGAAAAAGATTTGAAATATATATTTTTTAATTTTTTGCAATTCGTTGTTATTGGGGCTTGTATTATAGATTATATTCCTTTTTATCTTCTTGTGTTTATCTCTTCATTGAGACATATGCTTACAGGACTCTGAATTTTCCTCTGCTTACATTTACTTCCTGTTAGAAGGCTCCTCCAACTACCGCATGCTAAGTCTGTCTAAATTGTTGCAAGGTTTTTAATCACACGTTGAGCCTATATTTAGCTATGCCTGCTGTAGCCAAGTAAGGGTATCAGAGGTAAAATACGTAAGGATCACCGGTTTCATACTTGACTTGAGGATTTCAGAACACATCATACCTCAGAGATGATCGGCACACCCATGTGTGCCATGTTGGAAATGATGTCACTGTCTTCCGGTGGGATGTTGGCATGCTGGAGCAACTTACATAAGTTTTCCTCGGTCACACCTGACACACACACACACACACACACACACACACACACACACACACACACACACACACACACACACACACATATACAGTCGATAACTGACATATACTGTACAAGAGTGCAAACCTTCACAATTATGCAGTGGTGTGTATTTGTGAGTAGGAGAAAATCTGGAAATTACTATCACAAAAGAGGTCCAGACTTTCTATAATATATACATACATAGGTGAAAGTCATTATTTCGTCCCCTGTTACATTTGTAAGTTAGCTGCATCACAAAAATAATAGCAGTCTCCAATTTATATGGTGTATTTTTTTTAATCAAATTGTGCTAATGACAGAATATAGCACACTAAATATACATTACAAAAGGTATAAAATGTATGTTGGGTGACATATGTCTCAGTTTCAGTTTCTGTAACATAGTAATGACAATTGTACAAAAAGGATAAAAACAATCCACATATCTCACCATTCTTGAGGAAGATGTAAAGCAGAATGATGCGAATCTTGTCAGAGACGCTGACATTGGTATCCAGTAAGATTGGTACAATAAGCCTCATGGGATCTTTTATTTTCTCGCCCTCTGCATCGGTACCCATTGCAAGATCCTTTCAGAATGGAATAGAAAGGTGAAGAAAAGGGTCAGGTTATTTAGGGGAGTTTGTTTCTCATAAAGTGTACCTCCACTGGCCCATTTTGAGGTATTGATGAGGGAAGTAAAGTTTGAGAAATATCTGGTGTTCCCATCTTTGTCTCACCTGGTATTCCCTAAAACAATGTGCTGACAATCCCCTTGGGCAATCCCAGCCATCTTTGGGCAGTCGGCGGGGTACACCATGAAATGTTTGCCAGCCGGGCAAAACAGAGAAAAGCAACCATTCGTGCTCACACTCATAACTAGGGAAAATTTAGAGTGGTCAATCAGCCTGCCATGCATGTTTTTGGAATGTGGGAGGAAACCAGAGTTCTTCTTCTTCTTCTTCTTCTCCTTTCGGCTTGTCCCTTTTCAGGGGTTGCCACAGCGAGTCATTTCCATCTTTCCCTGTTCTCTGCAGAACATACAAACTCCACACAGGAAGGCCGGACCCCAGAATCGAACACTGAACCTCTGTGCTCTGAGGCAGATGTGCCAACCAGTCTTGCACCACGCCGCCGACTTGATGAAAATGCAATTTATTTTGGTTTTATTTCAAGTGAATAACATGACATCAGAAGTTACTCATCAGTTAGTACTTGAATAAATTTTTTTTCACTGACTCCTTACTCTTACTTAAGTCATTATTCGGGGGACTTTTTTTCAACTCTATATATGCGTTATATCATTATAACCTAAGAGTACTCTTACTTTAGTAACATTTTTGGCTACTCTACACACCTCTGAGGACGGTTCACATTCATCACAACACACAATACTGCGACTGTTTCAAATTTTTATTCAAGTTTTTTTAATTACCTGCTCCACACGGCAGAGTTTGTCAACAGTGCCCTGGTAGCGGTTCATACAATCTTCAGCCAGGTGAAGGTGGGTTGAATACTAACAAGAAAGATAAGTAGATGAGTTTAGCTATTTGAGGAAAATATCCAGGAGTTACAAACATTCGCACGTTCAAATGTATTTAAAAAAAAAAGTTTATCTCTTATGTGCAGGCAGCGACAAATGTTCACACTGTGAACAAGAATACACTTGCTGTTCTTACTTTGCTTAGTTCCTTTTGATACTGAGGCATTTTCTTCAGCATCTGGGACAGTTCCTTCATTGTGGTCTGAAAGACAATGGTGACAGTCATGAGTGATTAAGTACAATACTGTATAAATTGTAGTATAAAGTATAAATTCTCTTCTCTCTTCCTTGTTGGTATGTGGACGGCTGTGGAGTCCGATATCGGCTGTGACCACACTATACTTTGGATTGCTGAAAATATCTATTTAGCATATTTTGCTGATTGCGGAAAAGGGAGCCAGATATATATTTTTTTTTTTTTGCCGTACTCTGAAAAAAAAAATCCAGGTTTCCCATCAAAAGATAAGAGATCAATATTTCATCTTTGATTTCCAAGTAATGTAGTTACATCTGGATTGGACAAAATATAGCATCACACATTTCGTTTGAACCTGTTCAGCAAGGTGGTTGTGTATAAATGTTAAGAGAGTGACTTTTGACCTTAATAAATTTTCACCTTCAGTAAAGTATATTTCATTTGTGGCACACTGGCATTTCAAAGTTGCATTGAAATTCTTCTAGCCACATTGTGTACCAATTTCCTAATTTCTCATTCTCTTCAATGCGGTCTTATTACAAAAAAGATTGTTCAGAGTAATGTGGATGTTTTTCCTCTACCTTTTCCCCTGTGTTCATTTTTTTGCTGGCAGAAAATTCTTTCAGAGAGCGAGTCACAGCCCTATGCAAACAAAAGAAAGACAATGTAAATCATGTCACAAAATCAGTTTTGACATAAAAAAGTAAGCCTTCTGTACACTCTTCAAGTGTACTACACTCAAGTGTAGTAAGTGTTAGGTTGTCTGCTGTTGTGTTTGTTTCTTTTAAATATTCCACATTACCATGTCGAAACAAGGCGTATGTAACACAAGTACTCACGTTGAAACTTCAGCAATGTGTTTATGTCTCAGAGTCAACCACAAGTCATCATCCTCATCCAGCAACACATCTTTTGTCCGAGTGTCCCCCATTCCACTGGTCTCAAACCTGACACAGAAATGTACATACACAATGAGTGTAACTGGAAAAGAAAAACACACGATGGATATAAAGAATACAAAGAGCAAAAACATGAGTATCACATGTACATAAGTATTTCTGGATTGGAATTCTCTAGTTTCTCCTACAAGGTACATCATCAATCAATTCCCTCGACCAGGGTGCTGACACAAGACCAGGACTCCGCGCCTGGTTAGCAACCCTCCGCAGGGAGGGGTTCAAATAAGAATTGAATTGCTCATTGCTACCATTGTGTTTTTACTGGTGCATTTGACAAATAAATAAACATCTTGAAATGCAAAGAACCATTTTGCTGAATGTTGTACATGTGACCCCAAAAATTGCAAATTCCCTCTCTCCTTGCCTGCGTGGGTTTTCTCCGGGTACTCCGGTTTTCTCCCACATTCCAAAAAACATGCATGGCAGGTTAACCCATTTAATCCCACCGGTCACATTTGTGAAGGACAACATTGATTTAATTTACAGGGCTCTAAAATTTTTCATTACTGATTACTTAAAAGGGCTACCAATGACACCTGATTTTGACTTTTAAATGTCTGGGAAAAATTTGGGATTAAATGGGTTAATGGAACTCTTGATTGTCCCTATTGTGTGATTGTGAACGTGAATGGTTGTTCGTCGATCTGTGCACTATGTTGGCTGGCAACCAATTCAGGGTGTCCCCCGCTTACTGCCCGAAGAAAGCTGGGATAGGCTCCAGCATGCCCGTGACCCTTGTGAGGATAAGCAGTTCTTAATTATTAATCGTGGTTGGTTTGTTGATTTTTCTTTTTTTGATTTGATAAAATATGCAAACCTTTAGGGCACAGGTGTCAAATTCAAGGCCAGGGGGACAGATCTGGCCCACCACACCATTTTATGTGGCCCGCGAAAGCAAATGAAGCATGTCAAGTTCCATGATGCTTGCTAAAGTCTGAACCAAAATTTCAAATTGTCATTATTCTTGACTTCTGATTGTAAAACTAGTTCTTCATCAATTTGATGTGCGCTGTGTATGTAATATGTGGAGGGGATTAAACATTTACCGTAATTTCTGGACTATAGACCACACCTGATTATAAGCCGCACCACTACATTTTTAAAGGAAAAAAATAGTTTCTACACACATAAGCCGCACCTGTGTATAAGCCGCAGGTGCCCATATTGTAACATGAGATATTTACAAAGAAAGACGGTACACAGGGGGCAGTTAGGAAAGTCTTTATATAAACCGCTCCATGAAATAAGCCGCAGAGTTGAAAGCGTGTGACAAAAGTTGCGGCTTATAGTCCGGAAATTACGGTATATGGTTTCCCAAAATTCATAACAGCCCTACGAGCAGTGGCGGACCCTCAGGGCCAGCAAGGCCTTCTCTGCTGGCCTAAACATTCTCAGAAAAGTAAATTTACTTTTCTGAGAATAACATTAATTTGTTCTTTTATTTTCATAAATATGTAAACAAAATCATTCTCTGTATTCTTTACGTCATATTATTTCCACTTAGTCGAGTGGCTTTCAATGTTATTTTAAATAACATTGAAAGCCACTCGATAAATAACTTATTTATTATGGTAGAGTTTTTAACCAATCATATTTCAGCTAGCTTGTGTTGCCAGGTAAATTAAACTTGCTCGGCTGTAAAAGAACGGGCACAGTCAGGTTTCAATAGCCAATCAGATCACGAGTCTGAGACTTGTCTGCGTACTAGGGCCAGCTAGAAGGCCTTACGTCGAGACTGGCCGAGCGCGTTCGGTGATTGGATTAGCGCCTTTCCTGTTTCCTGAGAATTGTATGCTGACTTGTTCAATAAAGATTAAAAAAACAAAAAAGATTGGATTAGCAACTGCTAGAGCTATCATTCGCATTTTAACCCAAAATGGTTGAAGGAGAAGACGTTGATCTGGTTGCAGAACTACTTTCCACACAATTTTCAAGACGGGCCTTCCACGAAAAGCTGGATATTGTGCAAAGAGGTCGCCCAACTCCTGCGCTAGTTAGCCTGTCCCAGCAAGGAAAAGGGTTTGTCC